ACCTTCGAGCAGACACAAGCTCCACACAAGAACCTGCTTAGTGTGACCTTAGAGGCTTAGTACACTTAGGTTCTCACACCGTACAAACTTTGTTGCATTCTGCCACACGATGTTCCTTTCCCTGGCTGTAAAATCTGTCTCTGTGGGAATTTGCAGGAAAAGTCCTCAAAAACTTGCGAAAGAAATTGCGGCAGAAAACAACAACAAAATGCGGCGAAAAGTGCGGAAAGATGCAGAACTTGCCAGGAACTCGCGGAATTATTGGCAGGAAATTGCGAATTTGGGCCAAATCACGAAATTTGTTGCATCATTAGAATCGCTATTTGCGTACTGTGCAAATAACCCACGTACAGGATCATGGAAAGCACTCTATACTGCGTGAAAAGTGCAGAAAAATGTGAAAAGAAGTGCAGAAAACAACAAAAACGCGGGAAATCGCGGACTTTTCAGAAATTCGCGGGGTTTGGCCAAAATCGCGAAATTTGTTGCATCCGTGGAATCGCAATTTCCTGGAGGGACAGTAAAATCAAGGTGGGGCGCTCTGGCGGTACATACAGTCCATTCAGAAAAGGATGGACTCCTAGATTTTGGCCATAAATGGGTCAAACTTTGACTTTTTTTAGAATTTTTTCTGCAATCCCCTATGGAATCCTCTTCCAATTATGTTTGTGAAGTTTTTTTGTCCACAAAGCAAGCCATAACAAGAATAGGATTTCGGCCAGGTTCTGCCCCAAAAGCACTGAATTGGGGAAAACCATAAAAATCCAGGCCGTTTGACCCCGCCTGCAACAGTGCATCGTGCGGTTCGAACCCCAGTTCAAGCACCCTTGGACCCTTTTTTCAATTTTCAAATTTCGCAGCACTGCACTGGTGTACGATGAAATCACGAAAAATCACCAAATACGGGAGCTCGCCAGAGACAGGATGCAGGGCCCATCTTTTTATGGATGGACTGTTACAGTGTAGATATGAATGGACTGTTACAGTGTAGATATGAATGGACTGTTACAGTGTAGATAATATGAATGGACTGTTACAGTGTAGATATGAATGGACTGTTACAGTGTAGATATGAATGGACTGTTACAGTGTAGATATGAATGGACTGTTACAGTGTAGATATGAATGGACTGTTACAGTGTAGATATGAATGGACTGTTACAGTGTAGATATGAATGGACTGTTACAGTGTAGATATGAATGGACTGTTACAGTGTAGATATGAATGGACTGTTACAGTGTAGATATGAATGGACTGTTACAGTGTAGATATGAATGGACTGTTACAGTGTAGATATGAATGGACTGTTACAGTGTAGATATGAATGGACTGTTACAGTGTAGATATGATCCAGTAATAGTTGTTACTACGGTCATCCCAGCTCTACAGTCCATTCATCGGAAACTGGCCCGCTGGCTTTTGAAAGTCAGATTTGGGCCGAATTGAGGATCAAAAACCCACTTTAAATCTCAAAAATCTGGGTTTGGGATCTGCTTCTCCATACATTTTGCCATGGCAGACCTGTCCTAATTTTGTAAAACCTGGCTGAATTTCTATTTCCCTGTTCTTGGACTTTTCTGGCCTCAAATGTGGCAAGGAGTAATTGCACGGGTCACACAATGCAGGATGTACTGTTGTTTTCACGATATCTACAACTATGTGAGAGAGAAACCAAAAAGTTAGGGTGCCAGTTTCCAATGAATGGACTGTAAGGCTGTCGTCACACCACGGTACAAAGCGCTGCGTCTACGCCCACGTTAGGAGTTTTTGGTCGGTTGTCATGATGATCCGTATACGGGGTGAAAACGGGAGCAGAGGAAACTGGAGACGTAGACGTGGTATGGAGAGAGAGGGGGGGGGGGTATACGACTTTTTGTATGAACGTGCGTATCTCCCCCAGCCGTTTTCCGAGTGACCCTGTATTTCGATGTACGTGAGTTCAAATTTCTCCAAAAACCTGACTGCGTGTACGCGTCAAGAACTGTGACTGTCTGATGACACGACCACCCGTTTTGGTTTTTTTCACCATAGACGTAGACGTAAACGGGAGTCGGAGAACGTAGTGTGATGACGGCCTAATCCGACACCTTTTGCAACAGCATTTTCTGCTGGATAAACAAGGGTGCTGGATTATCAAATCCTGTCCTCCAACCCGGCCCACCTACTAACATACATGTCTGTGTCGTACGTCAAAACGCAGGGATTTTCCGTGTCAATCCAAGAACTTTCTGGAATGCAGGTCTATAGTGCATAGGATATTCCCAGGTATATGTTACATGGGTAGAATGCTCCCTGATAAGTACAGTAGAGTCGCGCGTCCAAGAATGTTGTTTCCCAGGGGTTAGCCTGGGGCGTTCTTATTTTGCTGGGCAATCTGGCTGCGTTCTTGTAGCACGTTCTTAGAAACAATTCGTACAGGATGATTCTATCCCATATGCTTCCGGAAAACCAACACCACCGTTCTTAACTTTAGGCTGTGGCGTTCTTAACATTTCAGGCTGGGCGTTCTTGGGCTCAACGTTCTTCAGCGCGCGACTCTACTGTAGTCCATGTACTGACCAAACTGACATACATGTAGCTCTGCTCCGGTACGGTATGCTACGTACAACTGCTGGATTAGAAAACCGAATTATGTTGAATTTGAGCGACTTGTTGCAAGTGCCGGATTAAAGCGTACAAGATGAACTGAAAAATTCCGTTTTGCCAGAAAGTGTGCTGGATAAACAAGTGCCGGATTAGAGAGGGACAACTGTACTTGTAAGAACGCAGCCAGTTGCTGAACAAATTAAGCACTACTGGAGTCTGCATAAATTCTGAAATACACGGAATTCACGGGGACAGTTTGAAGGTTGCAAGTCCGAACAAAATCAGATATGGAATCTGGCCCACGCTGATAAACGCTATGCTGTTCCCCGTGATTTCCGCGGCGGTATATCAGAAATTCCGTGCAGAATTCTGCAAATCTTTCCAAATTCTGCGGCATTTCTGCATGGGAAATGAGCGTGAAAACAGATTGAATTTCCGCAACACCACCGAATTTTGTTGTCCCTACAGTAGAGTCGCGCACCCAAGAACGTTGTTTCCAAGGGACGTTCTTATTTTTCAGCAATCTGGCTGCGTTCTTATAGCACGTTTCTTAGAAACAATCTGTACTGGATCATATGTACAGTAGAGTCGCGCGCCCAAGAACGTTGTTCTGTCCCTCCAGAAACTTGCGGAGACATTTCGGAAATATCGCGGAAGAAGTTGTGAGGTAAAATGCCACGAATTGCGGTGAATATTGCGGATTTTGTCAAATATTGCGGGATTATTGTGGTAAAATTGCGGCCGATTTTGGTACTTGTACTGTAGTGCTGTACGATGTACGAGTACGACGAGTCGTACAGCATAAATCATGCATGACAAAACAGAACGTGTGCTGCGCTGACTGTGTTCAACTGCCTGACAGGAGCTTGCAAGACAGCTTTACTCCATCCTCGGACAACACTCGGCGCGAGCCTTATTTTGCGACTTGTCAGCCACTGTTTGCCCAGAAACTTCTCCATTCTGGTGTCGATCTCACAAGTAAACTACTGACGAGCTTGAAGAACTAAACAACATCGAAGAAAGACCCGAATATCGCGGTTGTTTTTCGAAATATCGCGGTACTTTTTAAGTATCAAGGACAGTTTTCTACAATAACACGGATGATTTTTCAAATAACACGGACTTTTGTTCAAGTCGCAGAAAACAACGCGGCCACGGAATTGTTCCTGGACGGACAGAAGTTGTTTCTAATAGGCCTTTCACACGACGGGACAAAGTCACGTCTGTTCGGACTTGCGGGCGGATCACCAAGGCGATCATCAAATGGCGGGAAATCTGAATCCGTAGACCCGACGGTCTGCCCGCGACACACTGACCCCCTTGCTGTGCGTTTTCGTTTTCGATTTCGTGTTTCCTGTACTGGTTTGGCTTGTGTTCGCGATCGCGTCTTCTCACTGAGCGTTTCCTGAACAGCAGCACAGGTCCGACTTTCTGAACAATGGCCACCCGGACATTCAGCCCAGAATCCGAAAGGATGCTTATCGAAATCTACTGCTCCCTACTTGAATCGACTGATAACATGATGATGACGCGAGCAGCGAAAGAAGGCAAAGCAACAAAACGGCTGAACGGCCAAAAGGATTTGGGAAATAGAACGAGGCATTCCAAACCCTGTAGGTTGTGAGCCGATTGCCCTGTCCGGACCGGACCCAGTTGCCCAAGACCACGGAAAAGAAACATCAAAAATAGAGCAAAGCTACACGGATTTGTCCAATCCTTGGTCCCAGAAATCCAGTCAAGAACGCCAAAGCAACAAAGTCGTCTTTTCAGTCTTGTTCTACTCCAACTTCAGGCAAAGAGAGTTTGAATTTTCCCGGGAGGCATGAAAATAATTTTTTTTTGATTTATTTCCATCAAAACACATGCCTCCATTACAATTACCTAGGCAACAGTCAAATCGTGACCCACTCGCGTGCGCAGTGTCGGCAGAGCTAGTCGTCGTGTGAAGTGTCTTGCCGTGGATCGTAGAACCATGGTATCGTGAGCACGAACCATCGTGTGACAAGGTTATAAAGGGTTAGCCTGGCTGCGTTCTTAGAAACAATCCATACTGGATAACTGCAGACACTACTGGATTCTGCGGAAATTCTGCAATCCGCGGAATTCACAGGGGCAGGCTAGCCCATGTACCAAAATATAAGTGCTATGCAATACTAGCCGGGGTACATGCATCATTGTACAAACCCTTGTGCAAATATTGCAATTATGCTCTTCTGATCCCAATTTTCAGCACAAATTCTAGGCCCACGTGCCCATAGAGAATGAGGCTTCTATAATACGGCAGGCATTCAGTCAAAGGATCGCCTGGTCAAGCGACCACTTCTTTGAACAAGAAGTTCATTGCTCATTTTAATCACCAAAACTAAATGAATCACACGGCCATCCCACAGGTGCAACTACAGGTAGCACGGCA